ATTATGATATAGAAGAGGCTATTCCAAATAATACTGCTTTTATTAAGTTCGTGCCTGTTTCTGAATTAGTTCGTAAATGTGCAATACAAATTTTTATCATCTAAAGTTCAAAATCAGTTCCTGTCAGCCATATTTTTGATGATTCAACAGATATTTATTCTTCAATTTCTGAAATATATTCTTTTAATTTTTATTATAGGACTTCCTACATATATCTTTCTTCATTTATTTGTTAATAATAAAATATAACTCGAAGTAAATCATTACATATTTAAAGTAATGTATAAAATATATATCCAGATACTTTTAAGTATATCACTAATTGTTTTATTAAACTCTCAAAGGTATGCTCAATAAGATCATAGTGTTATAAATTTAAAGTTTCATTCATACAAAGTTTTTAAATATGTTCTTTGTGATTCTAAAACCATATAATTGCACAAAGAACATCATCTTAATGGTATTTATCATTAAACTATGAAGCCTTTTCTACTATCACATTTGTTTAAAATTTTAGATTAGATGCAAAACTTTATGGGAATTAGTTAAATCTTCTTGTTTCAGGCATCACTGAGTTTGTTGAACAGCATCCACCTCCTCTTAATGATGATGATTGATTCTTTAAAAATTGATTATTTTTTTTAAAAAGCAAATTGGAAATATTTGATGTACCAAATGAGTGAAAAGGGATTTCACTTATTAAATCCATATAGAAGACTAGTGTTTAATTGTTTGAGATCATGAAATTCGACTAATTATTCATAATTATCATAAAAAATTTTAATGGGATAATATACAAGATATAATCATTTATAAAGTGTTACCGTTGTCAAATCTTTAATTATTAAATGTTGATTTTGAAATTTTATTTTATTTATTAAAATCTCTTTAACAACAACAAGTTTTTCTAATTATTATACTTAGATTATATAACATGTAAAAGAAGAAATCACACTTTTGGGTTGACATTTTAATTATATTTCCTTATTATAAGTTATATTCAAAAAAATATTTAACATTTTATATATATCTAAGCCTAACGATAAAATAGAGAGGATTTGCCTTATTGTTGATAAATATGTATTAAATTTGTGATAAAAATCTAAATTATTAATTTAGAATTATTCATTAATTGCCAATTGAAAAAATATCAAAATAACAATAATAGTTTATAATCCATTTTGCGTCTTTTTATTTTCTTTTTATAATTACTTAATATTCTAATAATTATCTAACTTTTTACAATTAGTTATATTATATAAACATTATTTTTAAAATTACATTATTTCTAAACTTTTTCTCAATAAAACAAGTAATTCGCCTAATTATGATCTATCATTCTTTATATTTTTTAATCTTAATATTTTTCCCTATTTCTAATTTTCTTGTTTGTATTTTTTTAATTTTTTTTATTATCTTCTATATAATTAAAAATTACATCAGAATAATAAAAAATAGGATTAATCTCATGAAGTTATTTATAATAATTATATTGTTTAATATATGGTGTATATTATAAAATTAAAATTTTCATAATCAAAATAAATAAATTCAAAGAGCCAACGTATTTGAAATGCTTTCTACTAATATTTCATACAAATGGTATTTTTTAACTGAACTTCATGAGATCAAACGTTTATTATTGCCTATATTGGCTCAATTAAAGAAAAATCAAGTTTTATCGGTAGTTACAAACAAATCTTAACAGACATTAAATTAAATATTAATTTATTTAGATTTCTTAATTAGTCTTTGCACTTTGTAAAATATAAATCTATGTTATTATTTTTGACAATCATGTAAATGAAGGGTTTATAATCATGGATAAGGTGATATACTATTTGATAAAATTATATATTTGTTTATTAAGAATAAAATTACATCATCATTTGCAAAACTAATCCAGCTATTATTAAATTATTGAAATATTTTAAATATCCTGTCAAAAATAAGATCCAATTATCTTCTAATTGGAAGAGAAATCATTTTTACAATCATTCTTTGATAAAATTTAAATCCAATCAATCACCTAATTGGGATTGATACTACATTTCCACTAATAGGTCCTTCCTTTTAATAACAATCTATAAAAAATATTCAAATTAAAATGTCATAATTTTATATATTTTTCTCATTTTACATACCCTAATAATCGTCCTCATAAGATTTGTAATAATTAATATAAATTCTAGCATCTAGACTCTCT